TTTTTTTTTGTAGTTTTAGTAGAGATGGGGTTTCACCATATTGGCCAGGCTGGTCCTGAACTCCTGACCTCAGGTGATCTGCCCCCCTCGTCCTCCCAAAGTGCTGGGATTACAGGTGTGAGCCACGGCGCCTGCCCCTTTTTTTCTTTTTTAGAGATAGAGTCTGGTTCTGTCGCCCAGGCTGGAGTGACATGGGGAGATCTCAGCTCACTGCAACCTCTGCCTCTCAGGTTCAAGCGATTCTCCTGCATCAGCCTCCTGAGTAGCTAGAACAACACAGGTACGCCCCACTGTGCCCGGCTAATTTTTGTATTTCTAGTGGAGAGGGAGTTTCACCATGTTGCCCAGACTGATCTCAAACTCCTGACCTCAAGTGATCTGCCTGCCTCGGCCTCCCAAAGTGCTGGGATTACAGGCATGAGCCACCGCACCTGGCCTCTGTCAGAGATTTCTTCACCAAACCCCCCTTCCACTCTCCAATTCCTTCTTTTTATTTATTTGATTTCTTTACTTTTATTATTTATATATTTATTTATTTATTTTTATATGGAGTCTCACTCTGTCGCCCAGCCTGTAGTGCAGCAGTGATAGCACTGATAGCACTACTTTTTGTGTTTTTAGTAGAGACAGGGTTTTGCCATGTTGCCCAGGCTGGCCTCAAGCAATCTGCCTGCCTAGGCCTCCTAAAGTGTTGTGATTACAGGTGGCTCCCCTCCGATTCCTTCTTATATCCTTAGAGATCTGTTCCTAGAATTTCACATCAGTGTATCTTGTCCTAATCAAAATCTGTATTTTCATATCTTGTTACACATAGGGGAAAAAGAGCCAAGAGAATGACACAGAAATGGAGCTGGAGCCTTAATACTCCTCCTAACTGTTAATCTGTTTGGATGGGGTTTCTGTCACTTGTGGCCTACAGCAGTCTTACTGTCCCCCCAACCTCCCACAGAGTTCTTCAGGTTGAAGAGGGTCACCACTTTGTAGAATGGGAAGCTCTTATTCAAAAAAGTAGAAACTGAATACAAAACTAGACTTTAGAAGGATAAGGTAAATAAATCAATGCATTCATAACACATCGTTACCAGAAAGTGAGGGGGTTAGAGGCCTCATCCTTAAATTCTGCTCTCAAGGACATGGAGGGCCCCTCTCACAGGTTTTCCCAAAGCTCCTCTGGGTGTACTGGTCTGACTCAGCAAGTGAACATCTGTGGTTTTGCCTAGCCAGCATCCCTTCTCCTAGCAGTAGCACTCAGCATGTCCTTTTGGGGAATCACTCTTTCCTCTTGTGGTTTATTTAAAGTGACAGCACAATCAGACCCCAGAGTTTGGCTTATGTCCTAGGCCTTGCCAGTGAAAATATGGTACCTCATTAGTGGCATTTATTTTTCCGAGAAAGGACATATCATGGCCCAAGGGGCAGCAGCAGGTGGGTGGAAGAGACAGATAACAAACAATAAGCTAAATAAACAAATTCAGTCAGGAGCTAAATAAATGTCACTCAGGAGCAGGACAGGTAGCAATTTTGAATGGAGTGATTAGGGCAGTTCTCAATGAGGCAGCATTTGAGCGAAGATCAGGAAGAGTGAGAAGTAGTTGAGCATTCCAAACACACTAGCCCGTGCAAAGACCCTGCAGCAGAGCCCTGTCTGCTTTGCACAAGAAACTGCACAGAGGCCAGAATGACTGGAGCAGAGTGAGCCAGTGGGGAGGCAGTAGCATATGAGGTTGCAGGGGTAACAGAGGAGCAGATCAGGCAGGGCTTTTGCTTTTACCCAGAGTTTGGGAAACCACTGGGAAGGTTTTCGGCAGAGGAGGAATTTGATCTGGCTTTCTTTTTTTAAGGTCACTCTGGGTGCTGTATGAGGACAGGCTGCAGGAAGAGGACCACTGTCATGACCAGGTAGGAGATGATGGAGGCAGAGGTAAGAAGTGGTCAGGCTCTGGGTATGCTAGGGAGATCCAACCAACAGAATTTTTGGGCCCTGGAGGTGGGATGTGAGAGAAAGGTGAGTGCCAGATAACAGCAAGGTTTCTGGCCTTGACAGCTGGAAGATGGAGTTGCCATCGAGATGGTGATGCTATGGAGAAGAGATCAGGGGCACAGATTTGGATGTGTTGAGATTGAAATGTATTTTAGAGATCCAAGAGGAGGTATTAAGTAGGCACCTGCATAGAGGAGTATGGAGTTCAGGAGACAGGTCCCTCCTGGAGATAAAAATTCAAAGCCAAGCCTTCTCTCTCCGCACTCAACAAAACCTCACTTAAACAGGCTTGTCAGGTCATGGAATAAAGTAATAGAACTCTTGGTTGGGGAAAATGCTGGTCAACCTTACCCGTCAGAACGCTGCCTTTAAGATCAAAGAGATCTCTTTCCTTCAGCCTAATCCACCCCGCTCCCTGGTTTCCCCTCAGCCCCACTAGGCTAGAAGCTCCCTGGCTTCTCCCACATCAGGATCCCCAACAAGCCCATTCCCAGGTGGATAAGAGCCCAGGCAGTTCCCTAGACCACGTTCACTTCCTAGCTACCCAAGAACAGGACATCGCAGACGCCGGCCTCCTGGAATATTCCCCTCCGCTTCTCACATTTACAGGAAGGACTCAAGTAAGCCTCCGCGCCAGTTCAGTCGGCCCGGGGCCACCAATACCAAAGGGATTCAGTGGGTTCTACGTGGTGAGTGGGGGGCGGATAAGAGAGATGCGACACCCCCTCGACCCCCCAACGCCGGGGCCAGGCACACCGTGAGGGGCCCAGCCACTTCCATACGCCCTCCGGCCGGCGAGCACCTACCACCCACCCCTCGCCACCAAGCCGGGTGCAGAGAAGAGGTCAGGCGCACGGACGGTTCTTACCGGCCCAGGCGCCAGGCCCAGGGCACAGAGGCCGGGATCTCACGCGCGACCGCACGAGGCCGGGACCCTCCCTCCCCTTCCCGTGCACTCCCTTCCCCTCCGCCTCCCGTCCTCTCCCGGTCTCCGCCATCCCGCGTCTGGGCCCCCGCCCCCCAGCGGGGCAGCCAATCGGAGCTGGGATCCCGCCCCGGTCCGCAAAGCCAGTGGCGCCCGGAGGCTGCACGGAGAGCGGTGCCCGCGTAAGGTGAGGCGCGCGCGGGGAACGGGGGTCGCGCGCAGGGAAGCGGGGGTCGCGCGCGGCTTCCATAGAGCGCTCGGACCTGAGCTTGAAGCCCCAGGTCCGCAAGAGGCCCGGGCCCGCGGCCCCCAGAGCCGGGACGCACCCTGGGCGCCGCCTGCCCCGCCCCGCCCCGCCCGGGCCCGGAGTGAGGACGCGGTCGGAGGCCCAGCAGCGCAGGTCCCGGCAAGGGGCTTTCTCAACTACACAAAAGACAGTCTAAAAAATTAAGTCTCCATTTCGGTTAAGACTGCCCGTAGTTCCGGTTTTTATGTAGACCCAAGAGGGCAGGCTCGGCGTCCGCGTGCCGCGTAGTCCGGCGGCTCCAGGAGCGCGAGCGGCTGGGCCCGGGCGTAGCCACCGCAGGGCCGCGAGCTCGGCCGGGGCCCGCCTGGGATGCCCTGAGGTCTGCTCCGCGGGGGCGAACCCTGAGGCGCCGCGCGAGGCACTTGGCCTCTCCTAGCCCCGCTTTCGTCTTTGGAAACTGGAAACTATCACTTATTTCATAGACGGTGTGAGGGTTACATGACAGTGTTCTGTAAAGTGCACTCTACATATGAAGTGCTCAGAAATATGGCTAGTAATGAGGGTATTTATAAACTACTTAAATTATAAAAAGAGTTTGCGACATCAGACTTACGGTTTTGGATACTAATTTTTTCCACTTAACGTTCATTATATGATAGGAGTTTACCATCCTATTATACCGCTGTGCGATCTGATCTTGGGCACGTTAACCAACCTCTTGGTGCCTCGATTTTCTTCACCTGTAAAAGTGGGGATAATCATAATGCTTACTTGGTAGGATAGCCGTGAAGAATAAGTGACTTATCGAACATAAATAGCTTGCAATAGGGTTTTCAGCATGGGAAGGATTCGGTGAATGTTGTCATCATCACCACCTACAAAGCAAGCAATACTGTGTTGAAAGTTTTTCCATCATTAATGTAATTTCTATGGTACGATTTCCAAGAAGATATTAAAATTATGGAAATAAAGGTATTGGTATATTGCTAATTATTTCCCAAAAGATTGTATTGATAAATATGTTCATCCTTCCCTTAACAGTATGCATTCCAGAAAAACAAACTTAAGTCAAATGTTAGACAAAGTATCAGAAGGGAGATTCTGTAGCCAGGGAGCTAAAAATTACAAAAGGGTCTCTAATTATACCTGGCCTTTTTAAGGAATAATTCTCAGTGTGTTTTTCCGCATTTCATATGTAATCTTTACTGGTTTTTTTGTTGTTGTTTGTTTTGTTTTGTTTTTTGAGACGGAATCTTGCCCTGTCCCCAGGCTGGAGTACAGTGGCACGATCTTGGCTCACTGCAACCTCCTCCTGCTGGGTTCAAGCTATTCTCCTGACCTGAGGTGATCTACCCACCTTGGCCTCCCAAAGTGCTGGGATTATAACAGGCGTGGCATGAACCACTGCGCCCGGCCGATCTTTACTTTTTTATTCTTTGTACCCCCTGCCTATCCAGTTAGCATCTGATTAAAGTCAAAGATTTGCCACTTCGGGCCACATCTGTTAATTTTCATCTTTGTTCTAATTGTATTTAGTTTTTGATCTACACTACTTATTACTCCCAGTCATTTTTTATAGAACTGAAAATCTGGTAAAATACTCAAAATTGCATAGACTTCTATGTAGAGGCGACACTCCACCAGAACCGTGGGCTGACAGGGAATCCCACCGTGCAGGAGCTGCGTGCGTTTTCATTTCTGATTCTCTTTGGCGTATCCAGGACTCTGATGACATGATCATATATATATCAGTAGTAACAGGTTGGGCCATTTGTTTTTTGTCATAAATCATATATTTAAGATTTCAGAAATAAGTTGATAGCCATATATTTTGGAATTTGAAAAAGACATTTCATGACTCAGCTTCAAATTAAGCTTTAATCAAATAGTGAAACTTTTCATTAATGGACAGTGTATATACCTTTTTGTTTATTAAAAAAAAAAACACTGAATGTAGTGCCTTTGTGACAGGGGAGCTTAGTTCCTGACAGTGTTCTCTTGAGTCTTTTTGTTTGTTTGTTTTTTGAGACGGAGTCTCACTGTGTTGCCCAGGCTGGAGTGCAGTGGCACCATCTTGGCTCACTGCAACCTCCGCCTCCTGGGTTCAAGTGATTCTCCTTCCTCAGCTTCCTGTAGCTGGGATTACAGGAACACACCACCACGACCAGCTAATTTTAAAATTTTTAGGAGAGACAGGGTTTTGCCTTGTTGGCTAGGTTGGTCTCGAACTCCTGCCCTCAAGTAATCCACCCACCTAGGCCTCCCCAACGTGCTGGGATTTACAGGCGTGAGCCACTTCACCCAGCCTCTCTTCAGTCTTTGAACTGTGAGCAACTAGCTACATTACATGAGCTGCTAGATCTGCCTTACAATCAGAAATGAAGGTTGAACTCTCAGAAACAGTGATATATATATACACACTGATATTTCAAAAGTACAGTGCCCCAAATTGATCCACAAAGGAATGAAGGTCATTTGCAACAAAATCACGTAGAATAGTAACAAATAAATAGAAGATAAATATAGCCAGGAATTGAGATGAGAGAAAGTATAAGTACAAGAAACTATTGCAGGGAAAAAAAGAATAAAGTGTTTCAGTGCTATCCAATAGAATTTTCTATGATTATGAAAATGTGCTATATTTAGTTAGTTTACATTCCAATAGCCACTCTGTCTAGTGGCTCCCTTATAGGTCAGTGCAGGCCTATATTTTTGTAGTTGAGTCCCAAATTTGTTTCTAGAAAGGTAAACTTGGTCAGTTACATGGTTCTTGTCATTTGAAAGTAAAACATACATAGCAACTTCATTCATTCATTCATTCATTCATTCATTCATTGATCCCCCAAATGTTAATGGCCTTGAAGGAAGCAGAACCTTTCCTGATTCTCAGCTATAGGAAAAATTTTCTGTGGGCTTCATTATCAGAGCACCTTGATATGTTATTGCCCTGTGAAAGTCTGTTCAGTTAAGGAATTGGGGCTAGGAGGGATGCAGTCAGTGAAAGTGGCATAATTTGTAATGTTTTTTAGAGTTTTGAATAATTATGCTAACTAACCTTTATAGAAAAGTTTAGATAAATAAGCAAAAAGAAAGTAGTCACTAAAAGTTTCACCACTCAGAGACGTAATTACTGTTAATATTTTGATGTCTATATTTCCAGACTTGTGTCCCATGTACCTATTATATTTTTCTCGATAGATTCCAAAGTATCCAACTCCCTCCAGGGCAAGAGTTGCTTTTACCTTTACCCTTAGACCTCTGAGGCTGGCAGCTGGCCCCACCTGAGAGGGTCACCCTCTCCCTTATCCTTCCCCATACTTCTGGAACGAGGAGGAAGGTCAACAGCTGTAGTTCATTCTGCATGATGAGTAATCCAGGCTTTTTCAACTCTGGCATTGTTGACATTTTGGGCTGGATAACTCTTTGTTGTGTGTGTGTAGTGGGGGTAGGAAGGTGTCCTGTGCATCACAGGATGTTTTGAAGTTTCCGTGGCCTTTCCCTACTAGATGCCAATGGCACATACCCTTTTCTCCCGAGTACAACAATCAGAAATGTCAGTGAGAACTACTGGGTTAATGAAAATCAGTAATTTATTGCTGACAAAGCTCTAGAGTTTCAGATTCCAATTTGCATGTGGGAGAGAGACTGAAATCAAAAGGGAAACATAATGTAAGCCAAGGAAGCTGTTTAGTCCTGGCTGTGCTATTAATTTACTGTGAGGTTTTGCATCTCTCCCACGTGCAAATTGGAATGTGAAACTCTAGAGCTTTGTCAGCAATAATTTAGTGATTTCCATTAACCCAGTAGTTGTTTTTTGGGTTTTTTTGTTTTTTTTGTTTTGTTTTGTTTTCTTTTTTTGAGATGGAGTCTTGCTCTGTCACCCAGGCTGGAGTGCAGTGGGACGATCTCAGCTCATTGCAACCTCTGCCTCCTGGGTTCAAGCAATTCTCCTGCCTCAGCCTCCTGAGTATCTGGGACTACTGGTGCGTGCCACCATGTCCAGGTAATTTTTGTATTTTTAGTAGAGATGGGGTTTCACCACGTTGTCCAGGATGGTCTGGATCTCTTAACCTTGTGATCCGTACTGTGCCCGCCGCAGCCTCCCAAAGTGCTGGGATTACAGGCATAAGCCACCGCACCCAGCCCTTAACCCAGTAGTTCTTACTGACATTTCTGATTGACGTGCTGGGGGGAAAAGTGTATATGCCACTGGCATCTAGTGGGGAAAAGCCAGGGATGCTGCAAACTGATATACCACCAGGTTTATCAGTTGAGATCCCAACAGTGAAAAGCATAAAAATGAAAGGAATTTTAAGGAGAATTTTTAAAGAAGAGTGGGCAGGATTGGAGGAACCAACAAGTGATGGTGAGGCACACAGGAAAGAGCTTCAGTGGGCACCCCCACTCTGGTTTGAAGGGGTAGGGAGGAGACCAGAGCTGGGAGGAGAGGGCTGGAGTACTGCTGGAGGAGCCACCCCCGTCCAGAGCTGCTGTGGCCATCACAGAATGCAGCCACTGCCAGAGCAGCAGCCTGGGGACTGGGCAGGGGGAGCACAAGTACCCCCAGCCTCTCTCTTTCTGTTCCTTGCCTGCCGATCTCCTCCACTGGCTAAACCCAGGTGGACGCTAAGAGTACAGTCAGCCTGCCTGATGAGGCCATTGGAGGGGCCACTGGGGATCACCATCAGCAAGGGATCCAATGTCTTTCTGCCTCTGCAGAATGAAGGTTGGGGGAGCTCTACTTCTTAGGGATATTATGGGAATAAAAGGAAATAGGCAAAAAATGTTTTTGAAAAACAAAGCACATACTGCACACCCATGGGCCACTGCTGCTTTTGACCCCTGGCTCTGTTTCACGCTGTGATGTCATGTCATTCTCTTTTTTAGGTGCTACAGGATTTCTTTAGGTTTTTTTCTGTCCACCCTATTTCAACTCATGT